TTTAATGAGAATTTGGAGAAATGTTAATAAAATAATTTGAAAGATAGTTTAATGAAACAATTAACACATAGAAAAAACTTCAACTTTGGTAGTAGCGGTGTTTTATATAACTATGTCACGATTATTTTGAAGGGCTAAAAATTGAGTTTTCAGTACAGCATCTCTTCTCTACTTGGTCGTATCCGGAGCCAGTGACAGTTCACAGAATAATAAATCAATCATCTGAAGTAGAAGGTATTTTTTTTTCTTCTGTGGCGCCCTTATTTTGGTATAGTAAAAATTCAGTGTTCAGTTAATCAATTCTTTATTTAAATTTTTCACTTGGTCGTATCCGGAGACCAGTAATAGTTTACAGAGAAAAAAATTATTCAACTGACGTAGAGACGTTGTTTTTTCTATGATGTCATTATTTTGAAAGACTGGAGATGCAATGTTCAGTACATCATCTCTTCATTAACACATTTTTCACTTTGTTGTAGTCGGGGACGTGTGACAGTTTACGTAGACAAACATCTAGACAAGTATATCACAGATAAAACGGAGACTAATAAGCAAAGTATAACTAGTGGTTATAAATATGAATGTAGGAAGTACATTACCATGAATCTCAATATCACAAGATTATGTTAACTACAAACAAGTTCAAGCTGGTGAAGGAAATTATATGAATTGATTATCAGTAGATTAACTTGTTCAATTGATGACATATTCATTTTGTATAAATTCATATTGAATATGAGATAGGAAAAATTACTTTTGTCTAATTTCTACTAAAATTTCCATTTATTACTTGAGAATGGTTTGATGAACCGAAACCGGTCGTAACAAATAAAAATCTCAATAGAAATTAGACAAAAGTTGTTTTCCCTATCCCATATCGATATATTTATTATATTGAGTGAGCCAATTTTCGGAAGTAGCAAACAATGAAGGCAAAACAGAATTTAGATGAGAAATGTTCTGTAGGACGGACTAAAGCTTAGCTTTAAACGTGGGGGACTTCACGTATGACAACGTTTTTGACAACTTCAAATGTAACGGATTTGTATGGGTTATCACATAAATTGCATTTTTCCTATAATATACAGGTTATAATGAACATAATGACTGATATATTTTGCAAACCAATATCTGATATCTCATTTTGAAGTACACTGATCCACTAATAAGAAAAGTAATATTGATGAAAGTAACTACTCATTCAATGTATGTAGAATCAGCATTTCTGCGCCACTGCAGAAATGATATATACATGTCTGTTAAGGCACTATGATCTTTATGTCTTTCACTTTTTCACTTTCGTGTGTTCCTGAACACTGCAATTGGGTCACTATGGAGACAGGTGTCAGCAAAGTTGTTGAGGGGGTGGTTGCTGCTGACTCCAGCTGCGTTGATGACCTATTTCTGCGACAGCACGCAAGTCTTCCTTCTATGTAATGCTGCAATACATAAACAAATGGGTCCAGAGTATAGTAAAGACACAAAAGCGCATCTGCTGTTTTAGCAAACGAAGTCGGCTTGGCGGTGGGGTACGACTGGGAGAGCGGAATAGACACCTGTGAAAATTGATGAATTGAGTGTTAGATATAAGTTACACTTTTATAATATATAACAAAATCAATTCGTGTTATAATTATCGAACCCACAAAATTATTTCTATTCGAGTAAATCGAAACAGTGTTGCGAAAATTCCTTAAGTACATTTATGAAGAATAAAAAATTTTAACTCAATTCTCCACACTTTGGTAATGAATTACCGTGAAGTATTCAAGAAACACTTCATTGTGAGATGTTCACTACATAGTTCACAAAACCGCAATACGTGTTTCGCTATACACTTGCTTCTTCTATACGTATAGAAGAACCTATTGTAAAGCGAGACACGTGCTGTGATTTTGAGAATTGTGTAGTGAATATCTCACAATGAAGTGTTTCTTGATTACGTTATGGATTTTCATCAACTATCTGCCAATTCCATTACATAACTATAGGTAGACAATGTATACCACCAAGAAACTTGAAAAATAACCTAGGATAAAATGAAATCACAATTAATCATTTTCAAAATTGTCGGTTTCCCATTAGCGAATTTGAATTGCCCAGTTATTCCTGAAACCATACTCTGTCCTGATATGAAAACATTAATTTTTATGATTCGATTGACTTGTAGATTCGTGAGAATTTCATGGAAATATTACTATTGTAAACGTTTATGGCATTCCAAATATCAAAACTGAATGGTATATAGACGATTAATTCACTGATTGTTTCCTGTTATTGACTCACCTTCTGGAATATTTCATCGTCCTCATATTTATGAATATAAAATGCACATTATCTTTTTTAATGTAGGTAGTATAACCCTTTGAAGTTAGGTATTTTTGGACATTTGGAAATACAAATTCAACTCAAAAGATTCAAGATGACATTTCATGTTATGATTTTCGACTTTTCATATTGTCTATTTTTTAATATTGATAATTCACCTTGCAACGTGTTCAGGATTAGTATAAGTTTCCTATATTTGAATCTTTTATTTTGTTTGTTCTTTCTATATTTAGGAATATGAGTAACTTTATTATGACTGGGAGTGATCAGAAGTTCTTTTTTTCTTTATTAGTCGATATATTCATTTAAATGTTCGCGCAGTTGAGGTGACATCTACACCCCGCTTCGAAAACGGACTGACACGAGATACCTAAATGACTGTTTTCGCTCGCAAGAATGATTTCTCTCCTTAGAAAAGTACGCAAATATTTTTGTCGCTGTTTCAACGGCTGTTGAAACCGAGAGACTGGGATCTGCAGAACCGTCAGGTGAGTGCCTCTCTGAACTGCTGTACTATTATATCATTTAAAACCTGAGGTTTGCCGCCAATAACGCTAGTTTCGTGCTGATACCAAACCCAGTCGATTCTCATAATTTGAAAAATTCAGGGATTGAGTAGGTAACAAAATTTTCAGATGTAACAGAAATATATTTTGAAATATCTTTGATATAACCCGAAAGTGGTATATATATATA